TGGTGTCTATCATGAAATATGAACCTTTGTAAATGGTGAAATGGCGACAACCTCCTCCCAGCATTCCTCAGAAGGTAGCAAGTATTGTATTTAGTTAGCATAAGAGTGAAAAATGGTAAATGAGATGAATTGTTAAGAATTCTGGAAGACACCAAGCCCTGTGCAGTTGGGTAGCAGAACAATGCAAGTTTTCCTAGGTATGGTGATATACTGGAAAAAAAAAAAAGGAAAGAAAGAAAGAAAGAAAACCATATTAAAATGTAACACCCAGCCTCAAAGCTGGCATTTCTGATTGAGAATCCAATTCTACCTGAGGAGAAAGACCATCTAAACACTATTTTTCACTACAGATGAAAAGATTGGATATTGAGAGAAGGAAATCAAGCAAATGAAGTAGGACTGTGCATTTTAATTTTCCCATGTAATCAGATTAAAATCTTAAGATATTATTATGTTTTGAAATCTGCAATGTTGAATTTAGATCTCTGGTAATAGTTGATAAAATCTTTGTTAAAATCTTTTTGTTAAACCCTTAGTAAAAGAAATCTTTACTAAAAGCTTCACTACATAAAGTAGTAAAGTAACGCGTTTCAAGAACAGTTCAAACTCCCAAGGTCTGATTCTATTCTCACTTACAGCGGTGTAACTGTGAAATTTCACTGAAATAAATCATATTAGATCTACTTCTCTTTTACAGAAACAAGGGGAGAATCTGGCCTCATTATTTTAAATGACTGCAAAAAAAAGCATAATGCACTTTAAGTCAGTCAGAGAACTCAAGCATTTATTCTTGCTCATCTTTTCCTCACTGTAGTAAGAAAATTCTTGCGTAGCTCTATGCAAATGCACTGACAATGTTAAGTGGGAGATCTATAAGATAACCTTTTTCTATGAAAGCAAATAGTAAATGGAGCTACTGACAAACTACTAAAGACAGAACTGCAGTTTTAAAAACACTACTTCTGTACTAAGAGCAATGTACTAATGCTACAGGAGTTTCTAAAGAGAGAAGATCTATTCTCATCTTAAAGTAAATAATTAGATCTCTTCTAGTGGCGGAATTTTAAATAACTGCTGCTCAAAAGGTATATGGTTTTCCACATATCCATATGGAACTGGGAAATCAGCATGAACGTGATTTATTTCTTTTCTCTCTCAGTGTCCATGGGTACAGCAAGTACACCTTACACAGATTCTGCTGTTTCTTAAAATAAGTTACTATAACCCAGCAACGACCATGTGCTCTTTAACTGAAGCGAGGTTGAAGGAAAGATTGTGGGGTGAGTGGTTTGGTGGGTAAGGACATAAAGGCTTCAGTTTTAGGAACACAATTAACCCTAAACCGAAGGCTCAGAATGAGCCTTTGTTTGCAGAACTACTACATAGAATTTAACCTCTACAAAGATTTCAGTGAGATTTAAAATAATTGACACGTTTGCTGAGAATGAACAAACCTGAGTGTTGAATATATATTTTTTCGTCCTTCATGACTTACCAGTGGACACTGATAAGTGTATTTACTGGGTAAAATCTGAAATACATTCAGCTGGTAGATATTTTTGATATTTATGATCTGAAGAACTCTGATATGTCAAATTACATGTTGAGCGATTCCACTGTGAATGAGAGAACTGGAAAAGACAATTTCAGTGATACATACTATCTGTGAATAAAATGACTACATATGCAAAAAAGTCCTAAGTTACCTGTTTAGATCATTAAACAAAGAGCTCAAAGAATAACATTAAGTGAACTCAAAGAGCTTTAAATTTCTCTTTATATTAACTAGCCCATTTACATCTGCTACAATAATCAGGATCAAGATAGCTTTGCTCAATTTTCATTCACACAGGTATTAATCTCAAGACATTTTTCCCTTGAAAAACAGTGTAATGTGTATTAGATGTGTAACACTGTGTTTTCTGCTCTTTCAAATAAGTTGTTGCCTCAAGATTCATTTCTTCAGAAATGCTAAGCATAATCCAGTAAAAACAATTGAAAATCTCTGATTAATAAACTTAGCAAGTTAAACCAGAACTTCCAGGAAAATTCATGTAATCTTTAGGTTTGAGTGTCAGGGGATTAATTAAACAGATATTAGGCATCTAAACTTTTGATTCTCTGAATAGAGATTGTTCAAAGAAGTTATGCCATATTTTAGTGACCGATAACTCAGTTCTACAACAGCCAAACAAGTAACTGAATAGTTAATATTATGCAGAATGTGAACAGAAATTGGATTCTAAATTGAAGGCTAAGACCTTTATATGGCTGACAGCTGTCTTTCAAGATTTCATAAAGCTACCTAAAAAACTTTTCTGTGATTCTGTACAGAAGTCTGTAAGCACAATTATGTCCTTTTCTTCTGATGAAATACAGTTATTGAACAGTCATTTAATTGAAAACGATCAGATTTAATAATAATGTCTGAGCTTCAGCTGCTGTTGATTGCTCTGGAAGAACAAGATTAAAACCTTGTAAATATGAAGTCTAGTTGTCTAAAAGTGAAAAAAATGGACTTCTTACAAGGCAAATATGTGTAATGTAGTCAGTTTAACTGATCGACTTAAATATTTAAATGTGGCAGATTTACATCCTGTACCTAAAAATACATCCAAACTACACTAAGAACCAAGCCATCTTGCAGATCACGTACTTTCATGGGCTCTCTTCCTCTATTGTCATGTTAACTGTCAAGTAAAGGCATGATAATTACATGTCCTTTTTTGCTAATATGAGATTCTTGTTCAAAACCTAGACCCTACACAAGATCCTGAAATGGTACTGGTAGAGCTGGCCTACTGGCCTAAGTATTTTGCCTCACAAGCAGAACACCAAAGACCATTACATCAAAACAATTAAATGATTTAATTCAGAGATGACAAAATCCGACATACGGAAGAAACAAAAAAAATTGCACTTTGTTTGGTCTTTTCTGCTGTTCACTAGATTATTACCTTTAAGTAACATGCATTTCAGCTACCTACTTTTATTTGGCTGCCTCTAGAGCAGTGAAAAAAGATGCCCACTGAATTTTGAGCGCAACTACAAAATTACACATTCACATGCAAAATTGCCTGTCAACCTCATCTAGATAGGCCGCTATTCCTGCAGAAAAAGGATTTTGCAGGTGCAAAGAATGTTCTTTCTGAAAATCTCAAAGTTACAAAAAAAATAGACATTTACAATTTTATGTTTTCCTTCAATCAGAGTTCTTCTGATCTTATGTCTTCTTTCACTCTGAGCATGTTAGAAATCCCTAACGTGTGGCCTAATTACCCATTCCCGCAAGAAAGCTCGCAGGTAAGAGTGAAGATATCACAGGAAGCTTTTCCTGTTAAGAGTATTCTGGCTTTGTGCCACTAAAGGCAGGTAGGGGATTGTTTAGGGGATAGAACTGGTGTTCTACAGAACAGGACACGGGTTGACCAGAGGTAACAGGGTTAAATCCCTTGGGTGAGGGTAAAGCTTTGCTCTTTTTAAGAGGATTTGAAGTGAGAGAGAAAAAAATGATGATGGAGAGGAGGAAGAGACTGTATTCTTTCTTCTTGGTCCTCACTCAGAAAAATTTTTGTACTACTGTCAGTACACCCTCTCCTCATGCTGAAGGATATCTGCTGGAGATTGTGATGGAAACAAAATGGTATCATGCTATATGTTGACATAAGCATAGATAGAAAAGTGATATATACGTATACATGGACTACAGTCTTGCTGATGTATTGTGTTGTGCCTGTGACGTCCGGTGCCTATCAAATAGTACATTTTCTCCACCAGAAGTATTTTACTTGTAACTTATACACTTAATTTCTTCCATTGCAAGATTCAAGTACATGACTAGCCCAGAGGAAGATTTCAAAAGCAGCATTCTCATATTCAGCAATATCCAGATTATTTAAAAATCTGAAACTAACACTTTTAAATGTACAGGCCAAGTTGTTTAGAAGAATTCAGTACCAAATTTACATTGATTTCTATATCTTTAACACAGGACCTAATTCTTCTAATGCTTTTTAAAATATTATAATTAGATGCCTAATCTAGATGTTTTGAAAATGAGGCTTACTTGCATAAATCATGCAAGTGTTCTTTTTTTAAATTTACTGAGTGTTTTCCTATTGCAGCAAATCCTTAAAAGCTTTATTTATTTTGCATGGCCTGAGTCTTAATATGATCACATATTAAACCGACTTTTCCGTAAATATTAGAAGCTGTTTTTTTTTTCCACTAACTGTAAATACAACTTGCTGTATTTAGTAGTGCACATATATTTTTATAATTATAAGGTATTTCTAACATTCTGATAATACTGTAGTTATACTACTAGCAGCAGCATTTTGTATGAGAGGGAGTTAAAGCATTTGTTAGATGGTGCAGTATTTAAGTTCTCTTCTTACTTAAGTAGTTCTGAAGTTCTGTTCTTTTAACTGTAACCTACTATCTCTGCAAGAAAACAAAACAAAACAAACAAACAAAAAGCAACCAAATGCCTTGGAGTGGTGCTTCTAAATCTTTTTCTTCCACACCTTTTAGCCTGTGTGTGTCAGTTCCTCACAGTGTGAGAACATGCTGACTTTCGCAGTGAGGGGACAGTGTCTGCAGTGTACTCTGGAGAGCACATCGGGAGCAGCTACGCAGAGACAAGGGCGAGATTCAGCCGGTAGGAGGTGGCCAGGGAGAGGACTCAGGGACAAAGCAGTACACAAAGCTGGACGGCAGGGAGCCATCGATCCCACTGCAGAAGTTCCTGCAGAGCACGTGAGACTCAGCGGGACAAAATTTACAGCTCACAAAATACATGAATTGCCTCCAACGTCTTCCTCACATCCCCACAAACTCCAGCCTCCCAGATTGTATCTTTTCCTCCCCATTCTGTTCTCCTGCCATCAGGTCATCTCTTGGGTATGTTCTGAGACCCTGGAAAAAGCTCAGGCAGGCTTCTCACGTTGAGCATCTCCACCCCAGGGCCAGGTGAAAACAGAGTTCTCACCAAGACTCACCTCAACAATATCGGAATTCGTTCGACTCTCATGCGGCTCATTGTACTCTGTGTACTTCAGCAACACTTTGTCCATGTCAGTGCTGGCATACTGGAACAGTTTGTTGGTGCTGTTGAAGATGATCAGAGCAATCTCACAGTCGCATAGCACACTCAGCTCATAAGCCTTCTTCATTAAACCAAACTTCCTCTTCGTAAATGTCACCTGGAAAAAAAAAATCCATCAAAAATTCCTAAGTCAGTCTTTGTAGCCCTTTCTCTTTTCTCAGAAATATAATATGACCGCTGCAGTCTCTGACTAGAGCAAGTTTAGAAGGGAAGTCCATAAACGTAAATTTTGTTCCAGAATAGAATATACATATCCATCTGTGTGTTATGTAATTGAGGAAATGTATGCAATTCTCATCGCACAAAAGTCAAGCTACAAGTAAAAGGTACATTTTCATTAAGTAGCCCTATCTACTTTTAATGTTGCATCTTTCTCTCTAACTTTTTAATTCTTAAGTTTGGCCCTTCTTAGACACTACACTTACACTGCATGCATTTTTCCCATCAGTATTTTAAAACTGTATCTCAGATTTGCGATTGTAAGAAGTTTGAACAGAAGGTGCAGTCAGTTCTTATTTTTGATAGAGACTGACTGATTTCTTCCTGTTGCCCAATCCTGGATAACTAGATTTTTAGCAGGGGAAATTTTCATACAGAATTTTAAGCAGAGTAAAAGACATGCGGAGTTTATATAAAGAAACTCACGATAGTTTGGAAGAACTGTCTAGTTTAAAAGAATCAAACATTTTATTTTGCTTTCACATTCTCATGTGAGAATCTTTCCTGTCTCTTCCTATAGATGTTAAGTGTGCATAATGACTGTTCATGGATTTTTTACATCCATTTGCTTCTGTAGCAATTTTTAGTAATACGAATGCTTAAGATAAAAATATGGCTTTGCTAAGCTTATTTATTATGAATCAAATTTAACATCTAGTGAAGTTTACAGCCAGCCAAGTTTACAGGTTTGCCTAAGGCCACACTTGCTGCAACTGGTTCCTTACTACTGATCGGTAGTAAGGAAGTAGTAGCTCTGCAATAGGTTTAAGGCTGAGGCAGGAAGATTCCTCTGCACAGGGTAAATTTAGCTGCTCTTTTCTCTTGTTGCTTTCCTAACGCAAGTTAATGCTAACAGCAACCCCAGTCTACCTTTGTATCCCACCGGCCAAGCCTTGGAAAACGTGACCTAATGCTAAGTCCTGTTTACTAGCGCATCTCAAAAAGATGAGGCTCTGTGCCAATACTCCATACATTTATTCTCCCAAATGTCTACAAAGTTGTTTCGCTCTTACTACCATTATTGCCGTTGCTCTTTAGCCTCTCTGTCAACTTACGATTAAGAAAAGATGGATTACATTAAATTACAGTTAGAGTACATTAAAAGTAATTATTCAAGCTTTTAAAAAAACACTTTCCACAGCACTGCTTTCTCTATATATTTGATATTAAGTTCTATTGAAAATAAATGGTCTCTGTCAATGGTTTTTGGCACTCGGAGTGGATAATGAGTGGACAGGTAGCAAATTTCATTCAAATTCTGATAAATATATTATTACTTCAAATACATCATTAATATTTTCCCTGACTGCAGAAAATTGTGATGCATTTGTTCAGAAACATATAATATATAAATCTCAATATATACATCATGTTTTAGAAAAAGATAAACGCACAGAAAATAAAAAACACTAACTCAACATATTTTTCTGCATCTAAAACTCTTTTTAATCAACTTTTTGACCACAGTGCTGTAGGTGGAGTGTCTCTATACAGTATGGTTTCTGTTGCACAGAAACCTCAGAATTTAGCATGTTACAGCTTCTTTCCATCAAAGTACACCCTAGTACAGAAATATCTTTAAAGCTACTATTTGTGTTTGCTGTTAGGTGCTTCTGAATATTTAGAGTAACCACACAGCTGTGCTACATAGCACATACTTATTTCATAACACTTATCACCAAAATGATACTGGTTAGAGTTCCTTTTTGTGGAAACTGAAAGAAAGGACAAGAGATAACATCTTTCTTTCTTTCTTTCAAGCATAACCTTAATTGCTGTGAATTCAGTTTGCTAATAGCTCCTTGATCTTTCTTACATTTTCCAAATCTATTAGATAATGCATTCTGCCACTGTTCATAAATGCATGAAGACAATTGTAACTATTACTGTTTCTGCAGCGACCTGGAATATTGCTATTCTTTTTAAATAGACTCATTGACAGCTTATACTTTAGAGCATTTACATTTAAAGATAATAGCGAGCGTGTGTATGTATATATATATGTAAAACCATATATATAATGTATCACACTTCCACAATAGTTTATAGTTAGGGTTGTAAGTTCAGTATCCTCAAGAAAGATTAAAATTACCTTTCAAGCCATTTAAAAACAAATGATTGCTATGAATAATTTTTTTTTTCTGGCTTCACTAGGAATATGAATATACTCCAAAACATTTAAGTGAGCAATATAAGTAAACAGCATCTTTATTACTTATTTTTTCATCACAATTTGTTATGTTAGTCATCTTCACCTAAACTAAGTGTATGTAACAAATATCATCTAAGGTAATAGTGAATATTCTAGTATTGCAGAAATTTTGCTGAGCAGCAAAGATTAGCATAAATTATTAAAAACAATTTTCCTCCTCTGAGTAGGTGTAAGGGAGCCTGAAAGCTCCACTGAAGAACCTCTGACTGGGAAAGCTCTGGGAGAGAACACCATATGCACAACCCACCAAATACAAACTTCGCAGTAGCTGCAGCTACATCCCGGGAATCACACAATCTTGCTGTCGTATTCTGTATTTGAATTGCTCAGTTGTGATAGCATCATATATCAACATACAACCTGCTATTTTGTTAGGATGGTGTTTTTGGGAGAAAAATTCCTAATAACAGAAAAGCACTTCAGACACTGGAAGAAAACATAAGGACAGTAAGCCAATTCATCAACATACTTTAGAAAGGATGATGCGCAAAAAAGTGCACGCATTTCAAATGAATTTGTCTAATATTTGACTTTTTCAGCAGCAAGAATCAAATCAATACATATTCTTCCCTGCAAACTTGAGTCAAGAAAGGATTAATTATGCCTGCTCTCTAAGTCAGATTCAGAAGATGTAATTCACCTCCACTTTGTAGGTCCCTCTCAGTTTACAAATTTTCTGCTTTTCTGGAGAAAGGTAGGCAATTTATGAGGTCCCTCTCTCCCAGGCTAGGACAATATTTTAGAATGATAGGGTGAGAACCGGGAAGAATTAAAGTGGAGAAGGAAGTAGAAGAGATAAGAGGCCAGAATCCAAAAAAAAACCTCCAGGGAGTACCACATTTATCTCTGAAAATACCAAAAAAATTCTAATCCTGTCGCTGTGTATTACACCTAGTCAAAATCAAACAAACAAACTAGTCTATTACTATTTGACTAAGCAGCCCTGTTCTTTTAATTAACATTTTAATTTTTCTACACCTACTTTTTCCTTTTAACTTTTTTTACTTTTCAAAACTTTCAAGCCACACTGCACTCACAATGGGAATGGTGGTAAGTAGAAGATCAGATACCTAAAGGCTGCTGCATTTTTTTAATGGAAAGTAGTATAAAGGCTGAGGACTATACGGGCTGAATAAATCACATGCTTCCTTCAAGAATTCAGAAACCAAGCCTTCCCCAAGGTCAGATTTTTGAGCATTTTGAATGAAATTCTGGCAAAAGGTGAACCCCCTTGGGTGTGCTAGCAGAAGGACTGACAAATGAGGCTGGTCAGAAAGATATTTTTCTTCACTACCATGGCAAGACCACTCAGCTAGCTTTCCATGTGCACAGCTGCTCTTCCCGAGAGGCGCTTTATGGACTTGCCCTTGCAGTATCTATGACTGGGGCTTAGACAGCCAGCGAGCAAGTATACATGAGCACACACTGCTATACACTTCATTTAGAGGTTAATCTGCCCCAGAGCCAGGCCTTCTTGTTTAATCTGCAGTAAGCAATGCTTATTTAAACTAAATACATTAGGAGATAATGTTTCTTGATTTTGAGTGTAGATTCTTTGACAGGCTGAAATTTAAATACGTGTTGGTATATACATATGCGAGTAAATCCAGCCAGTTTTTCAACTCAGATACACTAATAGTAAATAGAGAGACCAGCCACTGGCAGCAGTCCTTCTTTAGCTAAATTTCTAACAGAAACGTTGTGCTCAGTGTAGATGTTAACACATCAGCAGAGGAACAGACCAGATACAATATAAAATCTCACAGACTCACAGGTTAATTTTGGGTGACTGAGCTGTAATATTAGTGCCATTATGAGGAAACTGTATTTGTCACTATAGTTACAGTGTATATTTTGTCTTTAAAGTAGCAGTTCTGTGTCAGTGGCAAAATACCAGGGTTCCTCTTACTTCTTCCTATCATAATTATAAAGAAATGTAGTTGCTGACATAGGAAAATGAGAGAAACAGTGAATTTGCACATAATCCCCATATACGTTTCCTGCCATTAAACATGTGTGAGTGGCTAGGGAAAACAGGACCCACTTATGCATGCTGCCTGTCAACAACAAGTATTATTCTGTTTGTCCACCTGAAATGCCTGGATTTCAGACACAGGGACCAGAGCAGGCATAGGCAGATAAGGTTTCCAGCAAATAGGAGGTACCACAGAAGGAAGCACCTTTAGACACAATATAATGAAGCTGTCCATGCACAAACAAGGGACAAGCAAAGATTGAAACACGATTGCCAGACACCTCATCCTTCCATTTGCTGAAACCCCAATAACTATTACAGTGGCAGCAGCTCCTGCCCTAGTCTCTCTTCTGCTTCATCCTGTTTGATTTTGTGGAGCTCTGTTTGTCATGTGAATGCCTGCAAGCGTCCTTCCAGCGAGCCACAGCAGAGCAGGCACGCAGACGCCGCGCAGGACAAACCTTCCTTTATGCAGCGGCCGGGCACGTTGGGGGAAATGAAAGGCCCTTTAAAGTGCAGTGAAGGGCTCTCAAGCAGCCTGCTTCCATGTTCTCGCAGCCCTCCAGCATAACTCGCAGCAGTGAGACAGCACTGATTGATGTTGTAAAAGAGCTATTGTCCTGGAAAGCCTCAAGCACACTGAGCATGACTTGCTGAACAGTCCTGCTAAAGAGGAGCTCTGAGCAGCATG